CTGTCAGTCATACAATAGACACAGGCAGAGTCCTGCATTGGAAAAGGCTGGTTCTGGAATCAGGCCTGGGATTGACGCCTGGCTGCTTAACTGGGTGACATTGGGCAAGTCACTCCACCTTCCAGAGCCTCGTTCAGCATTAGACACAATCAGCTGCCAGTGAGTAGGGGGAAGGGAGGGGCCATACAATCAAAGAGCTGGATTATACCAATCCTAGTTATACCAGAGGCAGATGGTCAGTCGGTCACAACCCCTCAGCTAGACAACACCATGCAGCTAGAGAAGGCAGACCCACAGGCAGGCCCATAAGAGAGGCACATAACATGCTACAGTCAGACCCATTCCCAGCCAGAGTTACAGACAAGCCAGACTTACCCAACGACAGCCACACACCCCGTCATTGACAATGGCACAGCCAGAACTCCAGTCCCACATCGGGAGTCAGCGGCTGAGAGACAAACAACCCATACACACGCCTAGCCAGAGTCTCAGACAGGTCAGCATCACCAGCCAACCCATACTTGTCACTCCCTGTTGCAGTCATGTAATTGGCTTCTCAAGGTGAAACAGCGGAACAGATGGACATTCATACATAGTATGTGTCAGGGTGTCAGTCATACATGGAGTTACAGAGCCAATCTTGGCCAAACAACAGCCACAGACAGACATTCAATCTCGGTCCAGTCATGGGGTAGATGGTCAGATAGTCTCAGACTTAACAGAACCAAGAGGTCACAGACTATGCCCCCACCCCCCAGTTAGCCCACTCGCCCTCAGCACCTGCCCTCATTTACCTGGCTTTGCGTTTCTTGCTGTAGTAACAGAAGATAGACAGAAGCATTAAGAGACAGGCTCAGAGCTGGGGAGACCCCAGGTCCCTACCCAACCCCCTCTGCAGGGCAGAGGCCTCGAAGGCCGTGCTCACTTTCGAAGGAGGCGGTCACCATCAAGGGGGATGAAGTACGGGAAGAGGTAAGGGCCCACACAGGTGGACAGCACAAGGCACAGCAGGGCCAGCGCCAGGCTCCGGGTCACCTTCTGCAGCCATCGGCGGCTCTGTGGGGATCAAGGCTCCATGAAGACTGCCCTGTGGGGGCTCCCACAGTCCCTGCCCACCTGTCCACCCAGGACCTCACCAGAGGGCGACCTTGGACAGCCTGTAGGTAGCTTTGGAAGGATATCCAGGGCCCAAAGACGATGGTGCCCACGAAGTAGAGGTAGCCCATGAACTCCACGGGTGAGGGCACCGCACCCACCTCGCCCCGGTCCAGGTCGAAGCCCAGAGACACCGCCTTCATGGCCACGATCATCTGGGCCCCTATGTGTGGTGCCCATAATCAAGTGAATGGGCACAGAGCAGGTCAGCATGGGGGGAGGGGAAGCACCAGGTGAGGGGTGGTAGGAAAAGAGAAGTTCAAGGGTGGACAAGTGGGCACAGAGTCTATAGGCAGATGAGCAGGTAGGCCCAGGACTGGCAGACGCCCTTTTTCAAGAGTGAGGCACATACATGAGATGGGAAAGGCAGATGGGGGTGGGGGGAGAGGCATAGTAGAGGGAGACAGATATAAAGGGCATCTGAGGCCTGCCTGTCCAGTGGGGGGGACAGATGAATGACTAAAGTGGGAAGGAAAGACAGGGTTGGGGAAGTTAGATGTAGAGTGGGGCAGGGGCAAGTGAGAGAGCCAGGGCTTCCTACCTCGCATCTTGTGCCACGTCACAGTGTCCACCATGTGCATCTCACTGAGGAAAAAAGGTGGTGGTCTTGGGCCCATGACTCCCATGGCCTCAGAGACCACAAAGGGAGGTGGGGATCAAGGTTCAGAGGCTTATACCCCTGTCCAGCACAACCTCATGGAGGAATAATTCTCCAGGACTCCCTCCTCCAGGGGGAGCTCAAGCCCAGCCTGTCCTGTACAGCCTTTAGAAATAACTAGTTTCCCACATTCCCTCCTCCAGGAACACCCTGTGCTCTTCCTGTCCTGCACAACCTCACGAGGAGCAGCCAGGGAACCCACCCATGGGGACCCACCCACCCTTCTGCCAACAGTGTGGGGACAAGGGCTCACACCCATACCCCATGAGCAGGTAGATCAGGATGGTGACGGAGAGGAAGACGCCTCGATGGGAGGAATGTCGGCAGAGGAACAGCACGAGGTAGCACAGGAGGCTGAGCAGCACAACCCAGACCATGTGCAGCTGGAAGAAGTGGTAGAGGCTGAAGAACCCTCCTGCCACGGTGCTTGCGTGCTTCAGGTAGGATGGCAACCCTTCAGGTGAGAGAGAGACAGAGAACAGGAAAGGGAGGTTGGGTGGGATGGCAGCAAGGGAGGGCAACCTGAGCAGAGGGCACAGCCTGGGCAAAGGCCTAGAGGTTGGAATGTGGTGGGATTGCAGGGGGCCCAAAGCAGGTGTTGGGGAGCTGGAGAGGTGGCAAGGCCTGGGTTTATTTATTTATTTTATTGATTGATTTGAGAGAAAGAGAGAGAGAGAGAAACATCGATGTGTTGTTCCACTTATTTATGCATTCATTGGTTGATTCTTGTATGTGCCCTGACTAGGAATTGAATTGCAACCTTGGCATATCGGGACGGTGTTCTAACCAACTGCGCCACCCAACCAGGGCCAAATCCTGGGTTTAAAGAAAAGAAACATCTATAAAGGACATTTGGGAACCCTGGGAGAAATGTGAGTATCAACTTATATTGGGTAATATTATTGCATCCAGATTAGATTTCTTGAGGGGTGATGGTTGTGGCTGTGGTTGTTGGGGGAAGATGTCCTTGTTCTTGGGGGACACACACTGATGCATTCGGGGTGAAGCGTCAGCAGGTTATTCAAATTATTTAGGAAGATGATAAATAGATAGATAGATAGATAGATAGATAGATAGATAGAACAGGCTAATGTGGGAAGATGCTGACCGTTGGGAATCTGGTAATGCATATAATGGGTGTTCATTGTATTATTCTTTCAACTTAACCTCAGTAACCGAAATATTTCAAAATGACAAACCTAAGAAAAAATAAAACATCCATTTAAAATAAAAAGAAAATGTAGCACCTTTGAATTTCAGATTTCCAAAATTCTCAGCATCCTATAGGGACTCTGGGAACTTAGAGTCTTAGCATTTGGATGGTGGCTTGCTGTGATTGTGGAAACATTCCAGAATCCCAGCATTCAGAAATCTCAGCATGCCCTGATTCTAGAAATCCAGATTGCCAGCATTTTGGAAGCCTAGAATGTGAGAATTTCAACTTGTCAGCTCCCCAAACCCTGTAGTGTGGTACTCTGGGATTCCTTAACCCTTTGACACCAGCATTGCAGAATCTTATAACGTTGGGATGTAGACATTCCAGGTTCCCAAAATCCAAGAACCTCAGATTTCCAGAATCCCAGAACCCAGGAATACTGAAAGGCATTGCTTGGCATGGCTGGGCATGGCTTGGCATGGTATGGCAGGGGGTGGCTGGGCATAGTAGGATGTGGTGTGGTAGCATGGTGCTTCGCCTGGTGGGAGGTGGTGGGCTGGACATATTGGCACCTGGCTTGGCATGGCAAGATACGGCAGGAGAAGGTACGGCTTGGTCTGGATGAATGTGGCAGTATGATATGGCCTGGCATGGCGCATAGTGTGGCAGGCACTTACCGAGCCTCCAGAAGAGGCGGCAGGCGAGGCAGATGGCAAGGAGCAGCCAGATCTGGTCAAGGCCCTGCTGGGCAGTAGGCAGGAGACAGCCCTGCAGCAGCTGCTGGAAAAATTCCTGGCGGCTGAAGGTGGCCATCGCAGCCCCTCACGGATGGATGGACAGATGGATAGACCTGTCAAAGTGGGGACACAGAGCAGGGATGTCTATGGGGCAGACCATGCTCAAGGCATAGGCTTGAGCACTCAGATTTCAGCTGGGGGCTGTCCAACCCATTTAGACACACAGTACTGGGGGGGCTGGGAGAGGGTGTGGGTGTCAGGTACATCAGATTGAGCCGCCAACTGTGCGTGTGGGAGCGTCCTGGGTGCACACACACAGCCCACGACCTGTGGTGAAGGAAGGACCTGTGTCTCTCCTATGCTGTGAGGAGTCGGGGTCCGATGGGGAATGAATGGTGTACATTCCAGGCCGGTATATCAAATGGGGACGCTCTCTGGTTTCCAAGGTAGAGTCACTCTGTGTGGAGGGCAGAGAGGGAGATCCTGTGACACTTGGGGGCCGTGTGCATCTCTCCTTGTACGGATGTGAGGGGTGTCCTGTATCCCCTGCGTGCCCCATCTCACCCCCACCCGGCCACTCCTGGCCACCAAGAAAGCCCTGCCCAGGCCCCGGGGCTTCAGGGAGGTGGTGGTGGTGGTTGGGGACAGAGCAGAAGGGGGAGTCTGAAAGGTGATGGAGAGGGGACCCAAGAACACGCGCTGCAGATCAGTGCGGGGAGGCCGTCTCAGGATGGGAGCGGAGGAGCCGCGCGCGCACTCCTGGGACCTACCTGGCAGGAAGGAAGCTGCGGTCCCGGGGACCAG